TTCAAAAATCCCTCCGCAATTTGTGGCTTCAGTCTGAGCCGGTTTCACGAGCACGATAGTTCAGTCGACTGTACGTTGCATCTTCTAAGTAAACGCTACAATTTCACATATGTTGCCGATATAGGCGTGGCTAATAGCAACATTAATGGAGTAATTGGATTGATGGATTTAAAGATAGTTCTAATTGAGAAATCCATCTCAGAAATCGAATCAGAGTTATTATTAATTTACGTGGTTGAATTTGCTAAAATCAATTTCGCCATCGTTACGCAATTCCCGCACGCGGAGAACAGCATCTGGGGTTTCTTTACCCCGTTTGAGGGTGATATCTGGGCGTCGATTTTAGCATCTTGCATGGGAATAAGTGTAATCATGCAATTTCAAGGAAAAGGATTATCCAATAATTTTAGTGGTTTAAGATCTGTTCAGGATTTTATTATGGTTCAGTCATTCCTCTTGGGGCAAGCTATTGCGGACGATATTATCAAAAACGTTAAAAGCAAGCAAGTCTTCCGCCCTCTTTTAGCAATCTGGTTCTTTGTTTGCTACATTCTCATGGAGAATCTCTATCAGGGGAGTATCTATTCGGACTTGACGGTCATATATCCTCCACACGTTCCTAAAACGTTTGAAGAACTTGTAGCATCCAATATGACGATTATCACGACTTCCCAAGTTATTCGATCCTTCGATACGTCTAAAGTACCGGTGACAAACTCACTCCTAAAAACGTCCATAATCCCAGAACTTTTGAATAAGAATTTCACCCCCAAATTCAACAAATTTGTGAACCAGATGAATTCTAAAATGGAATATATTAATGGTGAACTTGAAGATACATCGATGGTTCAAAATATCTCAAGCTCATTAAAAATAAGGTCGAATAAAACCCTGAAATGGATATCAACCAAAGGGTCTTTTGCAATTATGGATACACTCGAAGATTTGGAATTGTACGTCGAGTCATTACGTATTCTTGGTAAAAGATTGGTCTTCCAGGGTAATGAGGATAGCTCATTTCATTTCTGTTTGGTGGCATTTGGTCGGCGAAATTTCATATCTCCAAAGATTCAAGCGTTTCTGCGGACTTTGGCTGAGTCCTGTATCCTAGGACGATTCAATTATCTCGAAAACGCAAGGAATAAAATGCGGTCTATTAAGGGATTAGGGACAAAAATATATTCGAGGTTTGTTGCGAAATTGAATTCTAACTATAAGGAGGTGAAAACGTTTCATGAAATCGGGAATGAAAATGACGACGAGAGGGCTGTGGGGGCATTGTGGTACGTGCTAGCTTTATGTTCCGTGGTGATTGCGGTAGCCATTGTTATTTTTGTCTCGGAATTTGTTTTAAATAGGATATACAACAGCTAAGGAAATTATTATCTAAACATAGATTCATTTAAGTAATGTCAGGGTGGTCACTACGCGTCACACTCTTAGAAATGGGGTTACGATTATAACCAAAAAGTAGACGTATGTGACTCTACCGTCGTGGTTATGAATTTGTCACCAACTGGTTATAAATTTATTAGCACTGGTGACAATTTAATACCAAGTCGGTGAAACTTTGTAATTAGTCGGTGACAATTGTAACCACTCGGTGACAAAGTTATAACCACGGCGGTAAAGTCACATACGTTTACTTTTTGGTTATAATCGTAACCCCATTTCTAAGAGTGCATATAGAAATCGAGTAGTAGGTTAGGACATATTTACTAGAGTGTATTTATAAGCAGCTGAATAAAATATTATGATTATGCAACATAAAATATTTAGATTAGTAATTTTAAAATAAGCTTTAGCTAATGGACAACTTTATTACATATATCGACTTATTGAACTTCTGAATCAATCAGTCGTTTTATTCTTGTTTTTGTAAGAATATTCTTACATTTCTTCGTCTTTTGGTTACAACGCTTAGAAAGTACTAATGTCCTAAAGTGCTAGTAGTGCTTATAAAGGACAAATACGAAGTTTTTTAATTTAATTTCATACCTGAATTAATACATTATTCAATTATGTAAGCTCTGTATACTCTACATGCATAGATTAAATCAGGATAATAAATATCAATCGAATGGCTACCGATCCGTTGAGTTTTCATTATTTACGATTTGTATTATACTATACACGAGACATTTTCCATCACAATCCATGATGTTTTTTAACATATAAATACGTCCGTGAATTTCTTGTAATTTATTTTAGATTGAAAATTATTATTACGAGTGGACCGAATTGGAACGAGTCCGTGGTACCGAAAGCGTAATCAATTCTTGTTCGATTTGTCTAAATATTTAATAATTATTTAATGCACTCTTAGAAATGTGGTAATAAAATGCAAATTGGTCTATTACGGAACGGTTGGTAAACATAGACTTTCCCGGGGCAGTAATAAAATTGTTTATAAAAATTCATTATAATGCAAAAACTTTATTTATAATGGTTTGGTATTTTTGGTATTATCGAGAAAACCAAAGCGGTAGTACCAAATTACCAAGTTATAACTTTCGATGATGTAATAATTGATTAGATAATAAAAGTTACGAAATTACGTGAACAAATTTCGCAAGCCATTCAAAAATTAAGCAACAATTGAACCCTACTTTCATAATGAACTTTGTCGTGCAATTCTAATGTAAATGAATGTATGTATCCACATGATTAAATTAATTATTTAAAGAATGATTATTCATACTTTCCTCCTAAAATTATATAGGTGTTAGAAACCTCTTAACAGTATTTTGGATATCGTGATGGCTTGGTACGTTTAAAAAGTTGGAAAGGTTAATATACATACGTCAATCATACGCACAAAAATGTTTGGAGTTTTAGAATATCGGTACATCATTTACAGACATATAATCGCACATATTTACCTCGTGAAAGGGTACGTTCATAAAATACATACGTCACGTAGAATTCGCAACTTTTTATCCCCCCATCCCCCTTTCACCCCCTGGTTAACATGTGGCGCAAGTTGGCCGTCACTACATCAACTGCGTTACGTACTTTATGGACGTTCCCTCAGTCCTGTATTTTAAACAGGTAATAATAAATCCGACACAAGTATTTTGCATCGCATATCGCATCATATTACTGAACAAAACTGAGAAATCGGCTGACATAAATGCGTTTGATGCTTGCAAAGTTGAAAGAATTTAAAACCAATTAGTACAATCTCATTATTTACGTATGTATGTAGCCATCAACTGATATCAGGCGTTTCCTGTGTGAATCATGTCTCTAAACTTTGTCAAAAGGTTCCGGTCTTGATAAGAAGCAGATTTACGAGTTATGCAGATTTCCAGATAACTCCAACTCTCGAAGGATTGCTAATCTCGTAGTGAACTGTACCTCGTCGACTAGTAAAGAAGCGTTTGCACTCATGCGTAGTGCAAAAATGCCTCCATCAATTGCATTCCGACGAACTTACATCATCATAATTTTCTTATCCGCAATTTCCAAAATCAGTGCCAGGAAAGACGGTAATACGGACGACCTACATACATATGTAGCTTCTCAAATTCCTGCATTTAATAGAAAATAACCAAATCATTCGTTAATTATTCAATTCATTATCTAAAGTTTAAATAAATATTTATTCATTTCAAATTCAGGAAGAATGACTGAATAATTTAATCATTATTAGTTTTCCAAGCTATGCTTAATACATGGGATATATTTATAAATCCCTATAAATATGTAATAATGCAAATTTGAAATAAAATTAATAAAAAATGAATGAATAAATTTCGAATTTCGCATTTTGAATAAATGAATGATGAACGAATAATGTTTTCTAATTTTTAAACTGAATGAATTTTAACGAAAGAATATTTTTTAACAGACCTGCCCGACAACAAATTAAAAAATCAGGACTTGGCATCAGCCCGTCTCCACTATTCCAACCAAACTTTAAACGAAATAACTGTTCGGACCGATCCGCAAGGGATGCAATACTGTCCACCCGGGCATTACATATGTCACGATTGGATTTACTGTTGTCCCACGGGGTCCACGTGCTGCTGGAGATATTGCTGCACGAATGGAGCATATTGCTTCGATGGAACCTGTCGCGGGCTTCCATATTGTCAACCCGGGTATCACGAATGCTACGGAGGAACCTGTTGCCGGACCGGGTCGACCTGCTGCGGACAATATTGCTGCGTAAATGGGGCATATTGTGACGGAGTAGCGTGTCGAGGCTCGTCAACGGGTGGTGGAAATTCGGCGTTGTGCATTCACGTGACGGCTTATCTTGCAATTGTAGTATCTATACTATAATTCCGAAAAGTCCGTCGCCTCAAAATTTTCCTTGACGTTCCTGCATTTTGATTGGCTGTTCGTATTCTAGCTCCGCCAATCCGGGAACGGATCCGAATTCTGATTCCGACTATAATTTTTAGAATTAGTATGATTATGATTATAAACTAGTCTTTTAGACGGGCTTAACGGCTAGTATCATTATAATAAATGAATAAATATTTTCAATTTGTATTGGAGATTTAAAACAAATAGTTACGTTTTTGTAGCTTCATGATAAAATATTTGCAACGAAGAGCAGACTAATAAATTGTGGACACTGATTGGAGAGAAAAACATTCGTCAGTGCAACTAGTGTATGCAAACATGCATATTATTCGCACAGAAAACATACATTAAGCATTCCCTTTCTATGGAAACATGACTCATGAATTACGTACATATGCATGACTCGCTCAATCTTTATGAGTCACAGCCAAATACAGATTGATCTTTCGTTCACTATGTATGTACAAAGCTTTAGACACGTAAAAAGTAAGTCAAGCTGGGCAGATTGTATTTGTTCAATTTACATGTTAGTAAGTATCTACCATTGAAAGCGGAACAGGGGCAAGAAGTGTACAAATTCTACAAAACACGAAAACCTGAAATCATGTAAATGCGTCCGTCCGTTTCCGCCGTCACTGGTAATAAATAAAAGTATTAGGAGAACTCCAACTTACCCTCGTGTTCAGATTAGATAGGAGATGCATGTTGCCAACCAATGACCATCCTGCCGGCTCATTTATGTTCACGGGATAAATATTTTATTTGCCAAATATTCTTCCATGTTGTGTCGTTCAGAGTCGTAGTTTAGTATCTGGCTACACAGTGTTAATATGTACTTACATGTGCATACATACTCTTTTCCGTCTCTGTGATTGAATCTGATCCAAGAAGTTTACATGATCGACAAGATAACATTTCTAAAATTCCAAAATAGTAATTCTTTTCGTAATTAATTAAATAAATTAACTAAATACGCCCACTTCTGTAGTCAAGTAAGAGAGTCGGAGAGAGAGCAACCTCACACCACCACGTCTCGCACACGCCTCAAGAAGTTTACATATATAAATTGTGAAGGTACTAACTATAGGAAATTTTATTTTACTGATCTGAGTGGCCTTTCTTCTACAACCCGCCTGCAATGCTTGCAGCTACGTCACGGCCTTATGCACACATCACATGTTGTGTTTTCATCCGACCATTTTTAGGTCTTAAAATGGTTCCAAAATTATTTGCATATATTATCATGAATTTTAGTGTGCAAATTCTTGGTACTTGTAAAAAATGCACCCATCACGGTTACATACCGTGATGGGTGCTACATAATGCTCTTCTGCATAAGGAAAGTTAACCTCCGGGTTTTGTACCGTCTGCATGATTACCGCCACCGCTACCGCCACCGCCACAACGTTATATATACAATTAGGGTTGTTATACTCAAAGTGGTTTAGTTAGTCCCTGTGCGGGTGGAGCTACGCAAGTAAGAAACCTGTCTTTAGCCTCAGTTCTCCCTGTTAAGTGAGGCTAAAGACATGTTTCTTGCGTAGCTCCACCCGCACAGGGACTAACTAAATCATTTTGAGTATAATATGTCATTTGTCATAACCAGAGTCCGGTTAATATGTTCTTAAAAACCCCGAAATATTTATGTAAAATGTTCAATCAAATCGCCAAAATATGTATATAAAACTAGGGTGACCATCCGTCCCGGTTTAGCCGGGACATGTCCCGCTTTTCAAACCCTGTTCCGGCGTCCCGAAAATGTCCCGGTTTGGATAAAGTGTCCCGGTTTTTTAAATCGTCGGGAAAAATTAAATTATTTCACTTTTTCGCCAAAATATTGATGAAAAGGTATATTTTAGTACATAAATACTAGTAGCATCCATGTAATATTTACTTAATTTCCTTTCCTGGCCCATTCCCAGAATTCGGTGATATCTGAATCACCAAGCACTAGATATTATGGGAAATTTTTTCGGCAAGCACTAGATATTATGGAAAAATTTTTTGGCCATAAAATGTCCCGGTTTTAGTCAGGACAAACATTAACTAGATAAATGTGATCGACGATAAATACGATTTTAATCCCAATCCGGGATTAAAATTGGACTAAATTAATCCTAATCCCATTGACTGCCTCGAGAGATTTAATCCCAAATTAATTTTAATCCCGAGTTAATTTAACCCCCAATCTCAATCCTCAATCCCGAATTTTTAAAAATCAATCCCTAATCCTAATCATTAATCCCACTTTCGTTAATCCCAAGACTGTATATTTCTGTATATTTCTGCACTGTGACATTTACGGACGTTTATGACGTGACATTGACGGTAGCGGTAGCGGTAGCGGTGGCGGTAGCGGTAGCGGTGGCGGTAGCGGTAGCGGTGGCGGTAGCCGTAGCGGTGGCGGTAATCATGCAGACGGTACAAAACCCGGAGGTTAACTTTCCTTATGCAGAAGAGCATTATGTAGCACCCATCACGGTATGTAACCGTGATGGGTGCATTTTTTACAAGTACCAAGAATTTGCACACTAAAATTCATGATAATATATGCAAATAATTTTGGAACCATTTTAAGACCTAAAAATGGTCGGATGAAAACACAACATGTGATGTGTGCATAAGGCCGTGACGTAGCTGCAAGCATTGCAGGCGGGTTGTAGAAGAAAGGCCACTCAGATCAGTACTTACACGAAATAATCTTACACATGGTGTGAATAAAACACCGTATTTAGAAAGAGTAAAATTGCATCGTAACTATGTTCTTGAATCGATTTGCTTTGCAGACTAATCAAATCAGAGTCTTGTCTCGACCAACCTTTTATGAGATTGGGCTACTACATTGGAAATAAAGGGGTTAGTACTGTTAAACATAATTAACAAAAATTAGTGCCATCTTAACGATAATTACTTATTTCAGGCATCATGCACTTATACATAGTACGAAAAATGCTTTCCATATTCCTCAGTTATTATCTGCAAAATCAACTACCTTCCCCTCCCTTGGAGAGAAATCAAACCTTTAACGAATCCCTGGAACTGGACACTTGCGCTAATCCAATCCCTGGCATTTCCCGTATTCTGTTGGGTGTTGATGTCACAAAACTGGATTTACGACATGACTATTCCGTCGATCACGTCGATGGCTTCACGACTAAGTTATTGGACATAACTTGCAAGGAAGGTGGCACATGGACGAGCCCCTTCTCCGGGGTGAAGTACGACGTTCCCGACCAAGTCTTGCAAGTAGTGGCGCTTCCTTCCGGCCTCGTCGCGAGTGACACGCTACTCCACACAAACATGGAGTCTGTCCGTCACTCAATGAGTGAGGAGGCAGGGATAAGTTCGGTAAAAGAAGGTTTGTTCTCGGCTAGTTTAAGTTTCAAAAATTCCCAGACAAGTTTATTCAATTCTTCGCGGTTTGTCGCAACTATGAAGGCCTTCGTTTCCACGGCGGGAATTGATTTTATTCCTCCCACTGATTTGGGGACTTCTTTAAACAAGTATTTTGTCGACGCGCTGCAAGCCCTTCCTGTCACGTATGAGGAACATCCGGAAGCTTATGATTCCTTCATCTCCACTTATGGGACACATTACTACGCTTCCGGCTACTTTGGCGGCAGCTTATCAACTTATTTTGAAGTTGATAAGTCCTTTCGCCGATTAACATCGGACAATGAAGTCAAGGCGAATGCAGAGGCTACCTTTTTCGGAATCCTGAAAACTCACGGAGCCTATGATGGAAACGTTTCCACAATTAGTGAAGAGTTTAAAAGGGCGTCGCACAATTCACAGCGGTATTATGGCGGGGTGGCGAATTTATTTGAAAAGGACGGCTACACGAAATGGTGGCCGACGGTGGAAGGGAACTCTTGGCTGTATGGGGGTGTCCTAAAACCGGTGTCGGAACTAGTTCCAATCGGTAAGCAGAGAGAGGCCTTATCTAAAGCTGTAAACGTATATATTTCAAAAGCCTACCTGAGGGAAGTCAAGCGTACGGGGGACTCTTTCATGGGTCGCGGTCTAGTTGGGGAGGAGGTAGTGGCGGGTTATTTAAATCGGGTTGAAGCGTTGCTGGAATCCGTAAACTTTACGGATGCCGAGGTTTTGCAGGTAGGACGAGAAATCTCGGATTATGTACTAACCCCAGAGTGGTTCACTAATGTGGTGTACACTGTAATTTGGACCGATCCGGCGAAAGGGTTTACCCTGGTTCATTCCGCTAAAATGCTTTCCGCCACGCCCATTTTTGACATGTGCGATGGTGAACGAATTGAGATGGATTGTTATCGCAAGGATGACATCAGTTTCACAAGTCCACCCGGGTCGCCATCCTGGTGGGCTTCAGTGAGCGTGTCGAATAATTATGGGGTTCAGGGGTGGACAAATTCTTGGGTTTTTAATATCCCCGCCAACTCCGGGTTGGTTGAGCAATGTGAAGTTTTGCTTCTTTCGGGATGGGGTTGCACTTTGCGCGGGGGATAATCAGTGGACCCCTTGGCCGTATGGGGCCGGATTTCATAATCATATGTCTGGTGGTATTAGCTTCGTGGGGATCGACTTTACATAATTGAATAGGTCAAAACCTGATTAAATTTCTAAAATTCTGCAACATCTTAATATTTAAAAGCTAAAAATGTGTATGTACGCAGAATAATACTTAATAAACTTTGATTTATGTACTGCATATAAAATTTCCTTAAAAAGCTTTCTACATGTGTATTTCTGCATGTTGTATTTTTTGTAAACGTTTCAAGAAATAATTTAACTCTGGACTGTGCCTAATTTTGTTTCTCAAAAATAAATAAATTATAACTTTCGAATATATTAATGTCAAATGTCGAATATTTATTACTCCACAAGGCGAAGGAAATGTTCATGTAAGGAGTTTATTACATCAATGAGGTATTGCGGCATATGGGTTAAATTTCTGGTGCGTCTAAACCACACGATCAATAATGTACAAATAGATTGCCCAACTTGCCTCTAAATGGGGCGGTGAGCGCCCCTTTCCAGCACATAGCACCTGAGCACGGTCGCCAACGATTTTCATATCGAGCATCGTGGGTTCGAACCCTGGTCGGGGTATATAATTTTTTGTTTACATTTTTGTTAACTTTTTAGACGATAATTGCACGTCAACACATCTAATTATACTACGATAAATGATCTGCACTTAAATATTGTGCCCGATGTGAATTGCGTAATCGAATTTCTTAATTATCAACAGTAGCTTAACCGACCGATTCAATAATGCAAGAAATGAAATTATAATCATACAATTCTTTTGATACTTTCATTCTGTCGTACTTATTAACATAAATTTTATTTGTGCGAGAACTAGTATTTGGTCTGGCATACTTTTAAATCAAACTCAAAGTCAGGAAGGTGTATAGAAATACACGTAAATGCATATGTAATCAAGTTTCATATGCAAATTATTTTTTGCGAAAATTTATCCTCGAGTTCATTAATTACCTGTATTTTGACGTCAATGGTCACGAAAGTTTGCCAGATATCAGATTGCATGTATGTCTGTATACCTATATGTGTAAATTTAAAAGTAAATCTATCTTCAAATTCAATGGTTTCCATATTGGCCTCAAAGGTCACAAAACGATATACTGATTTTTTTATCAAATTTTTAACGCTGTACACGCATTATACCCGTCTTTTTAATCGCGACAGCCGAGACCATGTAAAGTCGGTGCACAATGATTGGTGTATGTATCACCTCCCTACATTCCAGACTGCACGTCAAACCGTAAAACGCGTGGTTTCATAGGTTTCATATTTCTTTATCATAAACAACCAAAATTAGAGTACGCATTTTATGTCTTCTCCCCGTTCCTAGAGATAATTCTAATTTACGCACAATAACTGTGCTCCCAGAATGAAATTTAAAACAGGAGAAAGTTGAAGCATGTATACGAATCCATAAATCGAACCACCCCACGTGCCAGGTACAAATATAAATCCATCCATTGATACATACATGGCTTCATGCAGTGTCATTCGTTCGTTGCAGTGTTTCCGGTGAAAGTAAGCACGTGCAAGAAATAATGGGGAGAAAGTGGTTTCTTCCAGGGGAATATTTTGACCTGCAAGAAATGCAGGGCGCTAGAAACTACGCCGCACCGCGATATTTGATACGGCGTGCGGCTAAACGGCATATATTTCTTGCACTTTCTCCCAGTTTCTTGCACCTCGCATTTCTTGCCTTTCTGCCTTTTGAGTGCAAGAAATGTAGCAAACCTGCAAGAAACGATCGAAACCCTGTTTTTCGTTGTCTCACATTTTTCGATTAAATAAATAGATCAAAATTCAATTGTTCCTCCAACTAGCTTAGCTTATCTTCCTCACATAAATAAATGATCCCTTCCCATTTTCCCAATGTCTCAATCTCACTTTCCCGACCAACCAACTCGGGGTACATACATACGCGTATGTATGTACCCCTCCAGCAAACTTTAACCTAAACGGGGTCAAATGTCACATGTGTAGAATATCTACAAATTTATCAGAGGTGTCTATTTTCAACGAGCAAAAAATTACAATTTCTTGCTTTTTAAGTATTTTTCTTCACAAGTTTTGAAATTTTCCTTTTCTTGCCAAAGTTAAGCAGAGGGGGTTTCGTGCTTCTTGCCAAAAAAATCAAAATTTCCAAACTCGTTGAAATAAGCATTCGTCTGTTATTGATAATCATGAAAATTGTAATTTTTCCCTATCAGGTTATTATGAAATAAACATCGTACCAATGAGAAATTCAAAATGAATTAAGCGTATATTGTTTAAGCGTTGGTAATTTATAATTTATTTTCATAATTATATACAAAAAGACTACACAGTACAAAAAAGATTTCATTATTACATACTAAGTCATAAATATTGTGTTTTTATATATAATAAATTTATCCGATTTTGGCATAGGCAAGTATGTATAACCGGAGTAAAATATATTCGTTTACAAATTTTAAAACGAACGTTTTAACTTAAGTAAGATACAAATTAGAAATATATATAAATAGAATTAGATAAGTATAATATGTAAATTAAAATTTCGCCTTTTTCTTATGATTTGATTGTTTAATTTGGTCGTTGTACTCTTTCATCCATAAATGCAATCGAGCTCTTAAAATTAATTGCAATATCTCAAAGCGATGGTCCTGGCACTTAAGTGATGTACCCCTTACCCAACTTGAAAAAGTGTTTTCTTTCATTATTTGATTATAAAGGTTTCGAATTACGTTTGTCGCTAACAAATTCATTGCTGTAAACGCGGATTTTCCAATGACTTCGGCTAGTGTTTCAAAAACTATACGATGCTCATCAATAATCAAATGACCAAAGCTTAGATCTAAATTTTTTTCGAAAATTTCCGTCTCATATGCTTTATTAAAAGTTAAAAGTTCGCTCCCGGCAAATGATTTGTCTGGACGATCGGATAAAAATTGCAATAATTCAGTTCTACATTCTTGGCATTTTTTCTTCTTAATTATACTTTTAATAGCATATCCAGCGGTATATATGGCTGCACTCACAGACGCCGGAGTATTATCCAAGTGCTCAAGGGAAGCAAAATAAAAGTTGCAGCCGTATGACTCATCATCGGTATCACAAAGCCATTGTCATTTTCATCGTCGTTATCATTGTCAATTTGGTCAAACAAGGTCAAGGTTTTTTGATTTGTTTTGGCAAGGAAGAAAGACAATTTTCGTTGGGTATCGAAAATTGAATCTTCAGAATCGAACTTTTCGCAGTTACTGCCGTCCGGAGTTACAATCAAGTTGGAAAGGAAAATAAATCTAAAGGCCCGCCTAAACATTGGACAATTTGCTTTATCCAATGACCCGAGTCGATATTTCAAGTGTCCAAATATATGCTCTATACCATCGGACTGCATGCTCCTGGTTTTGACAAATTTGTAGCCCGTTTCCTGCAGCTCACCGATGAGCATGTGCTGAGCTACTAAAGTTTGTCGCAAACCTTTGATGCACGGAAGTATAGGCAATTTCCGTACTTTTTTGCGCTTAGTGTTGGGGTCGTTACCGTCAAAATTTTCCTCCACGTCACTTTCATAGTCAAGGTCACGAATTACAACATTCGGAATAGCTTCCAAAGTAAGACCAGATAACCACATTTCAGCAGCTTTCCATTCATGCAAATTCTGAAAAACTTGACTATTCGACTTCCATTTTTTTAGTGGGCAGTGTGATTCAGAAATATTGCACATGTCAAAAATAGTGTCCATTCGTTCACAGAATTCTGCGGTCAATGAAAAATTTGTGCTTAGTTCACCTAAATCTATGCGGGTGCGCATACCACTGGCTACTGATCGGCTAAATAATTGCGTGGCTAATTTAACCTTCATTTTACTTAAATTCGTTAGATTAAAATGAGCGTCACTTAATTTAGAACTACAGCGAAAAGTAGACATGCAGTCAATGTCGTAGAATTCTTTTATGTGCGCCATACTAACAACCCCTTCATGGCCTTCCATTCTAAAGTTGTATTTCGTTAATCCTGTACGGATATTTTTGATAGCATGTGGCACATCGTACATAAAATAAATTTTCTTATCCATGTACATAAAAAAAGGTTTTTCAATGGAAACGCCAAATTTTTTGAACATTCCTTGATTACATCCTCCCTGGTCTACGACTATCCCTCTAACATTCAATCCAATGGAAAACAGATCTTCAAAAAACTTGCATACTATATTATATAGCTGACTGGATGTAGAACTATGGCAACTATAATAATAGGCTAGTGGCATTCGCCAATCAGTATTAAGGCCACGAACCATAACCACTAAGGCGTAGTCCGCAATATTCATGGTCCTATCAGACCCGCCAAAATCTTCGAAACCCTCGATCCTGTCACTAAATCGATTATATTGGAGGCCCTTGTGCAGTGCGGTTTCATCCAGTGTCAGGATACAATCTTTTTCAACCGGATGCATCCGCTCCACCTTGTCTTTCAAACAGTCGAGGATGTCTTGGCACCTACCGGGTTGGAAATCGAGCTTGCAGACCCATCGGCGTATGGTTGACAAAGACGGTAGTTTGGCCCCCCATTTCCTCCAGCACCTGAATGATTATTAAGCACATCGAGATTAAATTTGTATCTATATTATAAGCTGGAAATGTTTGTCTGCAACGGAAGTGAAAGTAAATGTTCCGCAACGGAAGTGAAAGTAGAGAAAGTTGAGTTTCGAATGGCGCGAAAATTCAAAATAAACTCAAAATTTAAAAATTAAAAGTCAGATTTTGGGGGTTGTCTGATGGTGGTTATCTGGGAGTGGTGGTCTGACGGTGGTTATCTGGGAGTGGGTGTCTGATGGTTATCTGGGAATGGTTGTCTGATGGTTATCTGGGAATGGTTGTCTGATGGTTATCTGGGAGTGTTTGTCTGATGGTTATCTGGGAATGGTTGTCTGATGGTTATCTGGGAGTGGTTATCTGATGGTTATCTGGGAATGGTTGTCTGATGGTTATCTGGGAGTGTTTGTCTGATGGTTATCTGGGAATGGTTGTCTGATGGTTATCTTGGAGTGGTTATCTGATGGTTATCTGGGAGTGTTTGTCTGATGGTTATCTGGGAATGGTTGTCTGATGGTTATCTGGGAGTGGTTATCTGATGGTTATCTGGGAATGGTTGTCTGATGGTTATCTGGGAGTGTTTGTCTGATGGTTATCTGGGAATGGTTGTCTGATGGTTATCTTGGAGTGGTTATCTGATGGTTATCTGGGAGTGGTTGTCTGACGGTTATCAGGGAATAGTTGTCTGATGGTTATCTGGGAGTGGTTGTCTGATGGTGGTTATCTGGGAGTGGTTGTCTGATGGTTATCTAGAAATGGGTGACTGATGGCTATCTGGGAGTGGTTATTGTGGGAGTGGTTGCCTGATGATGGTTATCTTGGAGTGGTGGATTTTTGGTTGGGGTTATCCGATGGTGGTTATCTGGTGGTATATCCGATGGTGGTTATCTGGGGGGTTATCCGATGGTGGTTATCTGGGGGGTTATCTGATGGTAGTTATCTGGGGGGTTATCTGATGGTGGTTATCTGGGGGGTTATCTGATGGTGGTTATCTGGGGGGTTATCCGATGGTGGTTATCTGGGGGGTTATCTGATGGTAGTTATCTGATGGTGATTATCTGGGGGGTTATCTGATGGTAGTTATCTGGGGGGGTTATCTGATGGGGGTTATCTGGGGGGTTATCTGATGGTGGTTATCTGGGGGGTTATCCGATGGTGGTTATCTGGGGGGTTATCTGATGGTAGTTATCTGATGGTGATTATCTGGGGGTTATCTGATGGTAGTTATCTGGGGGGGTTATCTGATGGGGGTTATCTGGGGGGTTATCTGATGGTGGTTATCTGGGGGGTTATCCGATGGTGGTTATCTAGGATGTTAATCATGGGTGCTTATCTAACAGTTGATATATTGGTTGTCGTGACCACTTTACTTTAAACTAAAGTAAAGTAAAGTGAAGTGAAGTGGTGGTCAGATCAGGGTATGCAGGATTTTCCACTTTACTGTAAAGTAAAGTAAAATTAAAGTGAGTTGGAAGTCAGTCACGGGTATGCAGGATTGTCCACTTTAGTTTAAAGTAAAGTTAAAGTGAAGTAGAAGGTGGTAACGGGTTGGTCACTTTAAAGTAAAGTTAAAGTGAAGTGGTACAGTTATGTATATCCGTGGCTGAGTTCCAATTCACTTCCAGGGCACTTCGCAGTGAAGTAGCCCAGACAACCAGCTCAAGATAACTACCATGACACATTTAATTTTGTTTAATTCACTAATTTCCAGAGACATTTCATTTAGCTTATTTTGAATTTACGCGTCATTCGAAAGTATCTTTACTATCACTTTCGCTGAGGAACATTTACTTTTACAACTTCGTTGTAAAAGTAAAAGTAAGTTGTAAAGGCCCGGCGGGAGACGGGCTTATTCGCTAGTACAATATATTTTTCAAATAAAAGGGCTTTGTGTGTGAAACATACTTGTAGTTTTTGGACCCGCCGCTGTAATAGATTGCCAACGATATCGTTTTTTCTAGATCACTGTAATGTTGGCGCGGATTAGATGCACGATGGATCTGCATAATCAAAAAGTGTTTGAACATTCCGGTCCCACGAAACATTTCCTCAATTAGGGATGTAGATATCGGCGGTGGCGGATCTGACTGGGTAGAGCGACTTCGAAAATTTCTTACGCCGATTGATGTATCTGTGATAGGTAAATATGTAACCTTCATGCATAACCGTTTTATTATATTACGTAACCGGTTGAGCACGATGCTTTTTTGCATATATACAAGATACAAAATACAAAATATTTAAATGCACCCCAAAGATTAGAGATACTAAATACAAATTTTGGATATTAATATAATAAGTAATATAATAATACATGCAAATAATATTGCAACTACGAAAACTACGTACTATCGTTTTGTCCACTAATTCCGAAATATTTGGATTGAAAGTAAATTTGCGTCGAAGTTTCCATGATATAGTTTTAGTTTCATGAAATTATCCGTACAATGAGATTGATTTAAGGTAAATTCATTTGAGACAGTACTCAAAGTTCCCTTGTAAGATCAAAGATTTCCAAGACGATGTAAAACTTCGACTTTTAGGTATAAAGTTGCGAAGTGCGATTTAAAAATTTTCACGTTTGCTCAGAATGACTTGACAGAATGGCACTAGTTTTAAACATAAATTCTACCTTGATAATTTCGTTTTAATGAATTCGAATATTGAAATTAATGAGATGAATTACATACATACAAGTTCTGTGTAACTCATCTCAAAAATTTTATGCAATGTTGCATTATGCAACCGTACATAAAATTTTCTTAATTGCACTTGGAAATTTTAGTTTTTACTTACTTTAAGTTTACCATTCTTAATTACTGTCATTGATAATTATGACTTCTCTAAATTGAGAGGTGTTATTGAGAAATTTAATTGACTCCATTAAAAAACTATCTTGCATCTTGACTGGTTTTATAAATAAAATATGTTAACGAACTACTTCTAATAAATGCATATTATGTTTTGTATATTGTATCTTGTTTTGCATTTTGTTTAAGTAGCTATGCTAGCCAAGCATGGCTAAGTGCTACTCACTGGTAAGTTCCTTGAAAGGCTGTCTTTGCGCCACATTTTGGATTATGGTGGGAGTTGCGTTTGGACAAAGCTTCCTTGTTATTTTCATATCTTGAGGCAAGAAATGTTCACTGCATACAAGTTTTCCCTTGTATGAAGCCTCCGAGTCAAGATTTAAGGCCGTACACCAAAGTTGCTTTCTGTTTAAAAAGTAATAGCCAAGAAATTTGTTAGTATACCTCCCAAGGAGCTATAAGTTTGAAAAGTAATAAAACGTTACCTATTGTCTTCCGGAAATGAGAAGAACGAAGGTCCAGAAATCGACGCATCCTCCCGTAGATTTCTACAACCATCTACAATGCAACGGTGATATCCTGGCATCTTGACCTACGAATAAGCCCAGAAATTACATATAATGTGGTTATGTTTTACTGTCCTAATAAAACTGTTTTTAATTCTAATATTTTTCGTCAGTTTAATTGAATTGAGATTTGACTTACCTCAACCTCACTTACCAAACTCGAAAGCCACAAAATCCAAATAAGATGGTAATATTTGAATGCACAATAGATTTCCAAGGATTTAAACTTTGTTAATATTTCTGAGCTGTTTTTATAATCAAGTTATACAATAATTCGCTTCTACAGTATTATTTGAAGTAATTTTTTAATAAGTAAAAATAATAAGTAAATGCAATGCTTATTATGAATGAATTATTATAAATTAAATTAATGTTTACTATTGTTTTATTTAAATAATTATGCCAAGTCGGGAGAAAAAACGAACGATTGTGAGCATGCAAGAGTGTTCAACATTTGCTCTTCCCACTTTCCAAAGCCACCACCGCGAGTTGGTCTATCTATGAGTACATTACTGATCGTGTGCGTCTAAACGTCTAAACCCTACAGCGTTTTTTTATCAGAGAGTTTCCCAGAATTTTTTAGCATTTTTTCTGAAATTTTTCAGGAATTTTTAAGCAATTTTAGGTCCGGGATTTTCTTCTCCCGGTTTGCACAGAATAAAACAACAATTGTACTCCCGCATTGAAGCTATTGTTATGATAAAAATTTCCAACAGCGATGGATACGTTTTTGTAATAATTTTAAACTTTCTGACAGAAGTTTTTATTTATTTTACATTTAACACGTGTAAAAAAAGATGTACATACTTTTTGTGATACACAATTTTTTCCATGAAGTAATCTCGTTTATCAAATATTTTAAAGTGAACAATCTTTCAAATAAATAAACTATTTTGAAAATAAATTCAACTGTCTAAAAATAATTGGGTGAACCTAATTTTAATCTTCCATCTCCAAAAAATTATGTTGCTACATACTGCTTATCAATCTGGAAAATTTTTTGAATACAACATAAATTGTATTTTAATAAAAATGTAAATTCGTAACCTTACCAGTGTAACATTTACCACGAATCTTCCACTTTATGCTTTACATAAATATTACTTTTACCCAGTTAAAACCTGCAAGCAAGAAAAAGTATGTAATTAATTGATGTGAGCCGCCGTCCATAAATTACGTAACGCTGGCTGACATGAGCAGGATAGGGAAAAAATCCTATCTTGCCCATGCTAGCCAGCGTTACGTAATTTATGGAGAAATAAAGTGGGTGTTCACGTCACTCAAAATGCAACTTTTCCGTGTTTTCGAAATCTGGGCCGTAATCGACTTGAAGATGTTACATGAAAATGCATAAACTATGTAAAAATGAGGGAAAATTCACTTGACGATGATGTCGCATAAATGCTTATTTCATTAAAAAGGTTCTGGCCACAGTACTGCTCTTCACAAAAATAGCAAATTTGTGTGGTTTACGGTTTTTAGAAAGTTGACGTGTATCCCCCCAATGTATTGGAATTGGGATATTTTGAAAAATTTACAAAAGAATTTAGTAAAAATCAAAGTTTTAAGGTGTTTGAAGTTTTTTCATACTTTGGGCTTTTCAAAAGTGGCAAAAAAATCCGTAAAATCTATCATAAATAACACTTCATAAGGGCATGTGAATAAAATTTGAAAATTTGGATTCCAACATAGTCTTTTTGGCTCAAAAAAGTTTAATAATTGTTCACAAATAGGTTTTTTTAATATTTTTACAAAAATTGACGCGAGCACCCCCAATTAAATATATTTTTCATAATAATCCCCCCAATTTTCTCACCTCTTCTCTTTCATCACACAACATGGTTAACTTTCCCTTTAATCTTCCCCCTCTCTTCGGGCCCCACGACGAGCTGGCTGGTATCCATGAAATGTCCGACTTGTCTAAATTGCGGGTCGTACGTGCCCCTTCCCAGCCCGCGGGGTTGATTCCTCGCAAAACTGTCCATTTGTGGGACCCCGTTCGGCGGGGGGGATGGGGGCGGCAGGATAATTTGCATCGTCTGGTCTGCAGTCTCCCAACTGAGCGAATACTTCGTCCCGGCGACGGTCAGACTGCCCAAATTTTTCTGGAAGGCCCCCTCCGCCCCGCGCCTCCCCTTAAACTCGATCCGCACCTGATTTCTGACCGGCTGAAAGGAAACGGTGGAAACTTCCAGGGCGAAATTTCCGAGAGCGGAGATGATGTCCCGTTTCGAGATGGAAGAAGGGATCCCTTCAAGGCAGAGGGTGGTGGATGAGGAGCCCTTATCGGAGGACGAGGATGGATAAGGTGCGCTGGAACTACGATCGCGACTACCGCCGCCGCCACGACCGCGACCACGACCTCTTCGGTTTGGTGGAGCTTTTCCGTTCATGCTAAAAAAATTTGGCAAAAGTTAATTATGATCTTGTCTTTTTTTAAATTATTATTGTCATTTTTTAAATTACTATTAGACAAAAATACAAAAAGTTTGGGACGCCTTAATTAATTATGAACTTCAGTTACTTAATTGCTTATCACAAATTTTTGTTAAGGTCACAATTAAATCAACCTCAGACATGGAAAAATATTTGCATTTGGATAATTAGGTATGCATTTACCTCTAGATTTTTTCTTCGAGAAGATACAAAATCTTGGAACCAACAAAGTCCGTCGCGTAATTTTTTCAGATTATTACAGACTGCTTTGACAAACCAGGACGTTCCGCTAAAATTCTCTGAAATTTATAAAATAAATAATTAAGCTACGATAACATTTTTATATCTTTTTGTTAACGGTGTTGTAACGTTTTTACCAGTTTGTACAATTCCAGGCAGTCTATTTAGAAGGGGGAGGAATTATGAAATTTATTTTCTTCAAGGAAATTAATTCTTATTATTCATTATTTATTTTAGCAGATTTACAAAATCAAAATAATCTTTAGCCGACAGATTTTGCGAAGGCGAACCTTCCGCCAGCAGAGATTCTCAAGTTGGACTAAAAACTTTCTCTTTGTCTTCTGCTTGATATGTGTACGTGTGTATGTAAAACTTGCATGGCTTTCAGTAGGTGCATGATTTACGTACATACATGAATTGATATATTTATGTATAATATGTATAATTTACAATCTATGATGACTATGACATTTCGCTTAAACGTTATGGAGCAAATATTGCTAGTCTTTAATATGTGCATACATTTGATCAAGAGCTTTTCATAAAAAATAGCTATGATTTTTGAAAACCTGATTAAATTTACCATAAACGTAATAAGCACCTTTTATACCAAGTGTCGCAACCCTGTATTCACTTTTTTTGCTCACTGTATGAACATATGTATATATGAGCCGGTACACTTAAAAATATGGAATTGAATCCTTCATTTTCAGAAGTAAATAAATGCACTCTCAATTTAATTTCGTGTAAAATATGTATGCTACACGCTAAGAAAACTTATATTAAACCATTCATTACTAACCGGAGGACATGACCCTACCAGCACGGTAATAACGAAACCATCACCTTACATCCGTTAGTAATTAAAAATTTACGACCTATTGTTAGAAACAAAGCATTACTATTCCATTACTGGATCATTAGCATTACTGGTCATCGAGGCCAAAGTGTTCAATATCAGCGGTAGGGATGTCAATTCCATATTCTTCGGCTGCATCTAAAATCCAGTCGTTCGGGTTTGATCTCAATGTAACGGGTTTTAACCTGGATATGTCAACAATGTCTCGTTTGGCTGCTTTGCCGTGTCGATTTATCAGTTCCAGTTCATAATTAACTGGTGAGAGTTTTGCTGTAATTCAGTAAGGTTCATAGTAGTGCGAAAGTAATTTTTCATCAAGTCCCTTCTCCCTCTTAGGAGCAAAAACTCTTACAATATCTCCAGGTTGAAACTCTGTACTGTCGTGAAAGGCGTCGTAGCGGGTCTTCATCCGGTCTTGTACTTTGCGGATATGTTCCAAAGCAGTTGCACGGGTGAGGTGTAATTTCTTGATTGCGTCAAAACGATCTATGTCTTCAGGTTTCAAAAGAGAAGCGTCCAAGGGAAGTGTGGTATTAAACTGCACAATATGAGGGTCGATCGTGAAGGCGAATTACTCGCAAAATTTTTCGTTCTTTTCTTATTTCGGAGTTGTTCAAGGATGAGAGCTTTACGTGGGGATCCCCCTGAGCTATGCGGGCACTATGTCTTACACTATCAATGGTCTCTGCTGCAGGTCCAATAACCGAGGTTGTCTGGTCCTTACTGCTGTCAAAAAAATCTCAGGGTCAAGAAACTCTGGATCAGATGTACTACTCCTTGTATGAGGAATAGTATTCTGTTTCTTTGTTTTAGTTCCGTTTTAATGCGGTTGTATGTGAAATCATTAACAATTATGCAAATTATGGAATTATGCAAACATGTACACAAGTGTGTAGGAAGTCCCTACACGTATTTGGTACGGATTAGCATAAAGCCCCCCAAAAACTCAATCTGGTAGCTGACCGTAATGGTGATGTTCCTCGGGAAGAGACACCTCCGACGTGATAAAGTTGTATAATTGAGGAACCCAAGTTCGGTTCTGAAAGAGCTGTATTGTTTTTACATATTTGTTTCTGCTATACTCGAATGTAATGGGTACAGTATACTTTTTCCCTTGACGTAAATGGTCTGGACTTAGCAACTTAAATATTTGTGAAATGTAACACATTTGTATGTAGACCTTGCAATAACCTTACGTGTTAATAATTAAAATATTTTTTCTGAAAGATGCAAGGACGCTTAAATTGATGTAGGCCTTCAGAAACAATGAAGGCACTTTTTTCGCGGTCTCTATTGTCGTTGTAAGTAGACAGCGAATAAATTCAGTGATTTAAAAACTTTTCAACTCCACCGAATAATTCGTCATAGAACTTAATTTAGGCAGGCTAATCGCGCAATCTCCCGTTTTTCTTTGGTACTAATAGGAAGGGGGAAACATCATGAACGGTTCGGTGATATCGTTGGTGAACATTTCGTAAGGTTGTTCTCTGTACTTTCTCGCTCTCAGGGAGAAAGTACAAAGTGCAACAACTGAACTGGGGAAGTCTTCACAAAATTTTCTACAATTTAATATTTTGCTGTGTCGTGCGTTTTAAATATGCCGAATTGTGGGCAAGTTGGGCTGAACCAATGAAGTTTTGAACTGCAAAAACGATCTCTTCATATAATGGCCTTATTTTAAGGTAAGAGTATTGTGTAACACGGAACAAATGTATTGATCTCTGTCACATTCAATACTTAGGGTATTTAGCTGTGTGCCATAGGTTTCGAGCGTCCAACCCAAAGGTCACGGGTATGGATATATTTGAACCACAGGAACAAATGATAGCTTTGCCTTGTAAGTCTAAAAATAGAGTATATGTACCTAGTAGGATTATTTACTGTCGCTAAAGTCGTCCACTTTTTAATGCATGAACTTAAATTTAATTTAAGATTACGATTGAAATATTAATACTTCCAAATTTACAATTCAACAAGTTTATTCACAAAGTTGATGGGAATATACAAAATTTTACACGAAACAAATTTATGAAGACAGTAGATTATTATGTATGTATGTATGTATGCAATATGTATGTTGGAGTGTATATATTTTTTAGTTTCACAGTCATAAATTCAATTCATAAATATTTCTTTAGCCGACCAGTTCTGATTAATACTTGTATGTCCCATATTGTGTCAATATGCTGTGAGTGAATGCATCGCTAATGAAAATATGCATGACATCTATCTATTTAAGTGTGTAAATACATAATTATTTCTTACTTTGTAATAATCAAGTTGCTATAATTAAGTTAGATATAATTAGTCAATAATTTATAATTCCGTCAATGTAAATAAACGTGTTGCATCAGAAAATAAACGATATACATAAATCTATGTACTGAAATATTTTCGTACATACATAAACATGTCACCAAGCCATGTCACTTCACCAACCTTTTCAAATTCTCATGAGTTCGGCATCTTTAGCTAAAACTTTCTTTTCAGCTGAAGCCTTCCTCGTATTTCAGTTGGGAGTCGTGCATCAGACATGTTTTTCGCCTAATTTACCCAAAACTTTGTTTCGATGCCAGTGAATTATGTATGCATAAACCTTTGGATGCAAATAAAGGAAAGTGAATAATTTAAATATATGTACAGGGTGGTTTAAATTGTGGGAATGCAAAATTTTCCAATGGGAAAAATTCGTAAATTTACATTAGTTACGGATTTGGGAAAGCGATTTTTATTAATTTTTATCAAAACTTATGGAACACTGATGACATATCTAATTCATAAAATATTGAATTTCAGAGGAAAAATTTCGATAAGTAATGGAAATTTGCGAATTTTTCCTGTTGAAAAATTTTCTATTGTAACCTGACATTTAAAGCACCCTGTATATAGAAAATGTTAAATAAATAAAGTTATCGTCCACATGAGTATAATAAAATTTACGATTGTATCTACACTCATTATTTCAAAAGTTATTTATTTCACCCTATGTACATTTCTCCTTTCTTGTTATATTCGTAACTGAATTATTTTGAATAGCCACGCGAGGGATTGTGCATAAAGAATGTGATAGATTTGAGGGGGGGAGGGTAGGCGTGAGGGCATCCTATCCGTCACATCTTAAGGATAACATGGGACAAATAGGTCAAAATTCCCCCAAAATCGGTCAAATGCTTTATGTACAGCCCCCTACGCATGTTTCAGACATTAGATATTTTAATAGTGTCCCTAGCATGTTTAGTTCCATATGTAGTAAATAAACATTTATGAAGTTATACAATGAGTATCTTCACCCTTCCAACTTTTAATGAAAATGACGACACGTTCACCTTGAACAGAAAAAAATCATCCATTCCACACTGCACAGATGGTATGGGTCGTCATGCAGGCAGAATTTCGTGAGAAATCGCACTATTCTCAAGATAATCACACTACATTATAATTCGTCACATGCTAAGGCATACATTTATCGCATCCTTAATGCACGGTCCCCCTTTAATGCATAAGTTTGATGGTCATCATGCTTTCGACGAATTATCCTGCAGCGCACTGTACCTCCGTTGATATCTTACTTGTACATACGTATTTTACTCAAATTATTGGTAACAGCTTGCTATTTTTTTACAAATAGCGACATAATTTATAAAAAGCTTTAAAAATGTAGTCCCTCGTTTATTGCATTTTGGTACACTCTTAGAAATGGGGTTACGATTATAACTAAAAAAATAAACGCATGTGGCTCTACGGCCGTGGTTATAAATTTGTTATCAAATGGTTAAGAGTGTGCATAGATATTAAGTGCTTTACGGTCAAATGTTAATTTATTACCTGCTCATTGCCAACGGTATGGTTAATATTATTATTTTTATATATTTTATATATGTATTTATTTTACTCTGCATTATTCTATTTCTTTCTACCAAACTATATATCTTATTTTCATTGCAGTACACCTGCGTGAATCTATTGCAATCAGGCTGCAATAATCAGACCGGTTTCAAATGCTGCGACAACGCCACTTGTGTGGCGGGAGTTTGTCTGGTAACATAACTGATTTTAGGCACACCATATAAGCCCCGGCTACATTTACGAGACATTGCACAAAATTCAAATTTTAAGCCTTTACATTATTTTAATGAAAGTAAAAATTTCAAAATTTTATACACAGGTTCCCACCCCTCCACCTTGCCCAATTGTTTCAATCGGACAATCCTGCTCTGCTGGAAGTGCTTGTTGTGGACTGGGATCTCGCTGTTCTGGAGGAATTTGTGTGGTTTGTTTTATTTTATTTTTATTAAAAAATGAAATCCCCATGTCTTAAGATGAGTTTTGGTAAGTCATTCCTGCGCGTCTTATTCCGCCCCATGTGTCAGGTTTCCTTATGGAGAATTTAAAATGAACTTTAATATTCAATGAAACTATTCGGCAATAAACTATTGAAGAAGGCATATGTTTTCCAAAAATATAATCAACAATTTTTTGAAGTTAAAAATATACAAAGTTTTAATGTAATAACATTTAAATTTCATTGAATATTAACGCCGAAAAGTTTTAAGTTCTCCATAAGGAAGCATGACACATGGGGCGGAATAAGACGAGTGGGAAAGAGTAATCGAACCTCACCTTAAAAAAATGAAATCCCCGAGTCTTAAATCATGGCGTAAATTCATACCGCACGAGACACAATTTTGTTACCTTCACTCTATCCGATTTCCAGCCTTGTATCCGAATCGGGACACAATTGACTTGTACCTCCAACTCGCACACTCAAAATAATTTAGAGGAAAAATTATTACCATGCGGAATCACTATGTGTCTCTACCGCACGTTAGAGAATCAATACAACTGGGGTAATAAGTTTATTTCGATACCGCTTGGTAAGGATGTATTACTGGACCCCAATGGTAATGACTTGTCGCGTTTGTGTAATATTAGTATGGAATTTGGTAATAATATTGAAAACCAACGGGGTAACGTAATATTACCTGATTTAGACGAGGATGATATTTCTCTGGTATTGAACGTAACCGTACGTGGAAGAAAATTGTACGCATTGGGTTACAGTTACAACATTTTTTTATTTTCATAATAAAATGCAAATATTTAGTACAAAAAATTTCAACGCTACTACATATGTATGTACATACTATGTACGCACGTAATAAGTTACACATTCTTGTAATTAATAAAAAGTATTATATATAATGTCGTTATACTAAAAATAAACCGATCTTAACATTACTACATATCGTCACAACTTATGAATCAGATATTCTTGTGCATATAATTAATACAAAGTTTTACATATAATGTCTTGGCACTAAAAATAAGCCATCGGTCTTACAATTTCTTTGAATTTCCATACACTCATGAATTACTAAATTCTCAACATTTATTAAGTTTATTTTTTCTGTTAAAATTACCTTAAACGCAAAATAATGTCGATCAAAGTACTCGACATCAATTTCTTTCAAGACAAGAAAACACTTGTACTCACTTATTACAAGAAATTCAGAAATAATACCAAATCTAGGGAATAATGGCCCAACTCCAAAACAAACAACATAATTAGTTTTGTAATTGTAACTTCTGTACCAAATTTGATTAGTTGTATATATTACTGTGTCTGGAGAATACAATTCAAAACCTTGAACTTGTCAAAGACATTCAATGACATCGAATGAGTCTAAAAAATTTGATAATTTAACCTCAACTACATTGTCCAATTCCAGACCATCATGAATATTTCCATTTTTAAAAACATGCGAGATGTATTGCTGGTGCCTGTGGGCTAGAGAAGAACAAATATTTTTAAAATTTTTTGTACGATTTGAAAGTTGAACAAAATAGTTATGCTTTCCTTCAAATCGCATGGTCCAAAGCGACACAAGTGGGCCACTTTGTGTAACTATATAAGCGTAGTGGCACATAAAATGATGCTTCGGTAGCAGTCTATGGTCAGGAAAGAGGGTCAGAAATAATTTGTGGTGTTTAATTATACTAATTTTAAGGCACTCAATAGTAGATACTGAAAATTTTCGACAGAACAAGTAGCTCATGCACTCCAACAACTGGATCAATAATTCCCAATAAAAAATTTGTTCCTCGGTTACAATCAGATCGGCCAAAATAACTGGCAAAAACCTTACTAGACACCAAGCCTGTGCTGCCTTTTGCCCAATGCGATGACTATTTCCGTCTAGCTTAATTGGACTTGGTCTGTTCTTAGACTCCAATTTTCCAAAATCATGGGCTAGCAATCTTTGGTTGATTTGGTCCAAGGTGAAACAACCTAAATTTATTAACTTCTGAATAACTATTTTTAATTCAAATGGAACAACTCCTTCCAAAATGTCGTGCATAATGTCTACTGTTGGGGAGTCCAAGAAATTAAAAAAATTAAGCTGGTTCAATGCACAAGGAGCTACAACACCATGAGATAAGTTAGTTAAATGATCACTATAATTTTCTCGGTCTCTAATGACCATTTGCGAATGATCAAAAACTGACTGTGCTTCGGACTTGGAAGTACAACATATACGGCAATAATGATTTGCATTAAAAGACTCATGAAAGCCTAGAAGTGAATTTGCACCAAGATTATCGTGTGATAAAGTACATATCGTTCACAAGAAAGTTTTCCCCCGAATTGCTATGCCTGTGCTTTCTAAAAGTTTAAAATCGGGAAGTATGTAACTCAATATCAAATTATAACCATATTTTTTCGCATCTTCACTGTAAAAAAGAGCTAGGAGGAAAATATTACTTAAGTGAGAATTAATATAATCTGGAAAGTTTCTTAAAGTGAAATATAGGGCTCCTATTTTGTGAATCCCTTTTTTTGACCCCAAAGGATTCACGGTCTCGAAATCATCGTAAAATAACTGAATCTGAAATGCATTCGGACATTTCATAAATAACTGGTTAGTTTTAAAACTATTGGAATCTCTAAAATTTTCATATAAAACTTCGCTTGCTTTCGGAGGAGTTTCTAAATACTTGCATAGGTCTGGGCAGCAAATTATTTTTTCTAAAGTTTTTATAATTGGAATGTACATAAATGTGTCCTGCACTACAACTTGTTGTCGTTTGTTTTCGCGAATGCGCATTTCTGTTCTACTTCCTAGACTAATTTCCACCGGAAGTATTATGTCATCGTTTTGTACTGTCAACTTTTGCCTTTGATACGAAGATTTCACATTGGAAAACGCTGACAGTAATCCTGTAATCTGAACAGAATATTTTTCAAAATTTTCGATACAATAATTTTGACCAATTTTTAAAACTAATTTGAATATTTCTGAGAAGCTATACGACATTTCTTTCACAACTAAATCTACCGTTGAATTATTAACCCCGCGTGCTAGTAATGACGAACAAAAATTGTGAAGCAAATTAGTGAACAACTTAATTCCTAAATCAACTGTGATCTCAACTCCTTGCTCTAAATCTTGTGGTTCAGAACCATGTCTGTCATTTATACTAATTTCTAATTCATGATGAACCGGAAGGTCTGTTTCAGTATTTACATTATTATGGAGCTGTTTTAGATGACGCCAAAATCCGCTCCAAGTTGTTAATTCGGCAGTACAAGATTCACCTGGACAAATCATATTTTTAAAATTTAGGTGCCCATAGACATGAACATATTTTAAATGATCCTTAATAGCTATAATTGTATTAAAATACTTCGAACACTCCTGACACTTAAACATCTTGCTCCAATGCAAATCCAAGTTGAGTATAGACTTGCTTCACTTTTCGAGGCAGTAAAGTCGTTTCCACGTCCAATTTGTATATGAAAACTTGGATAAATTTCCAAATTCCAGACACAGTTTTGTCGTACTCAGTTGCAAATACGTAGTGAGCCTTGAACAGGGTATCGATGGCCTGAGTCGTATCCGTCGCAGCTATGGGCAGGATGTGGCGGTCACAGATAATGAAAAAGGAGTTCAATTCCTTTGAAGCGTCTCCAAGGCAGATCAGGTTTGGCTGAGTTTGTTCTTCCTTCCAAGTGTCAAGAATTGATTGCAGAGGAGTTCCAGTCTGAACCAATAACAATATATATTTAAACCTTGCAGAATTTTGCCATGACTTGTAATGAAATATTTGTACCTTAAAATACGAAATTAAGATCTCCTTTGCATCATCTGTTTTTGCTCGGCTCCCTTTTCCTTTTCCTTTGGCAGTGGGTGGAATTAAGTACAAAAGGCAAAAGAGGGCGAAAATATTACGATCCCAATAATCTATCAGAATTGTTTCAGTCACATTGATTAATTAACTAAATGCTTAGCCTTTTCAAACACAACTTATGCTTACCAATTCCTTCCGATAAGAATTTTGTGAGTCCAGGTGACTTGCAAATTTTTGGAGCGGCTCCAATAATTTTTTGCGCAACTGATGGCCAAGCATTCAGGAAATTGTTTGACAAATCATCGTGCATAACCGAAAATTCGTAGTTAATCTGTTGTGTTTATAAAAAAATATGGTTAGCAGCTATTAAACTTTGAGATTAATATAGCGCAAAGCACAACACCATAAATAAGAATTTGTTATTATTACAACTCACTAGGAAATCGCAGTCCAAAAATTTCTTGTTAAGCTTGAGAATGAGCGTGCTGACTCTTTCGTAAAGATGTCCGGTGGGTAAGTGTCTCCAGAAACAATTGCTTTATTTCTTTTGTCGAGTTTTTGGGGCAAAGTCCATTAAGTTTATTTATGGCGTCCGTCGGAGGAATTATTGTTTCCGGCTCACCATCTGGTTTTGGTAGTGAGATTATTTTCGCGGATGGTCCACCAGTAAATGGCGAGACTCTTTTCTGTGCAGGTTTAGCCTTGCCCTTATTTAGATTTGTGTGAAGGAATCTCAGTCGAGTTTGAATAAGTCTCGATCTTGTAACTTCGTCATACAAAATATCCTAAAAAAATGTTCCATGATTATTAACAAATTCAAGTCAAAATAATAAAACTGGCCAATAATAAAAAAATGATCTGCATATATAATTTAACACAATTCAATTTTTATTACTCACAGTGCCATTTGTGCTTCCGGGTCCCTGATAGCGCCAGAAAGGAACAACAAGAATAATTGCTTTCGCAAATAGTTGTTGATCCTTGGAGCTTGGAGATTCCCTGCAAAATATTTAATCAAGTTTACAGGTGCTAGTTAATAATGAATAAAATTCCGTGGATTCATTTGTACCCCCTCAGTTGAACAAATAAGGCTACAAAATCCTTAATCAAAATTGACGAAGCTTCAGAATCGACGCAGGCCTTTTCCTTCGTTTGCTCAACTAATTGATTTAGATGATGGTTCTGCTCGAGGTGCGACAATAAAATCTGAAGTAATCATTAATAATAAGTATATATGTATGTACTTGACATCAAAGAAATTAATATTTAAGTTGGATAATTGTAAAAAGTTTGGCAACTTACCTGCTTATAATTTTCTATTTCTTCATCCTCCCTGCTAGTGAATAAGATTGGTTGATTTGTTGAGCTTACCAATGGGGATAGGGGGTTCTTAACTAATGATTAGAATAAATTTGTGTGAGTGTAACATTTTTCGATGAACTTTTAATTTAAAATATACTTACTGTACTTACCAAATACAATCGGATTTTCTTCTCCTGCTACAATCAAAACCAAATTTGGGATTTGATCTTGGGACATTAAAATTGGGAAAATGTCATCGTCTACTTCTGCTCCTTGGTCATCTTCAAAACTAATATTTATCTCCGCATTAATTCCGAACTTTACCTTTACTGAAAAATAAATAAAAAATATGAAGTATTTATATTTTGTTTGCCGGTAGAAATATTACATTTTTACAATTTATAAATAAATTACAAGTACTTACCAGAATCTGCAAATAAGTGATAGTCTTCGTTGAGGATTGTTAATTTCTTCCCCCTTGCGAGGTTAGAAACACGAACTAATTTTGTCATTTTGGGAATAACACTTACTGTGTGGAAATAAAATGGCGAATGGAATGAAAAGATTTAAACAAACCGCCACTTGGTCAGGTTGAGATTTGTTTACCGGAGGATGAGGAAATATTAGATTTTGAAGATGTTTCATTACACACAGGTAACGATGCTCATGTTTCCAAGTTTAACATTAAATTATTCCAAATGGTATGAATCTTGGTAACATTTTTAATACTATGCATTTGACATTTTATTACGGTCGGTTTAACACTACTCTGTACCGACTCTGGTAAAGATTTTGGTAATGATTTTATTAC